CTAAAAACTCAATTAATAATAATATCTAAAAACTTTAACAGAATAATTTTTTTCATATTTTTATGAAACCTGATTTTAATGAGTTTTCAATAAATAAATAGAATCAAAATCAGGGTAAAAAGAAAATCTGAATTATGCAACTTTAATGAAATATTCCAGGATTGGAGTTAATTTAGTATGATTTAGTTTACTAAATTAAACATCCGTCGTGCTTCAATTACAAGGCAACAAAACGCTTATGCACTAAAAATCATTATACTGCTAATAATTTTTTAGGGGACGACTGATAAGTGCGATTTTCATTAATACAAACTGGCATAAGTGTTACAAACTGGCATAGTTAGAAAAACTGACAAAAGTGCAAACTGACATAAATGCGAATTAGCATAAGTGCGCCAAACAAATTTGCAAACATTGGCATAAGTGCGAACTGGCTTAAGCGAGAAGCAGTGGCATAAATGAAAAGTAGTTACAAAAGCTGGCATAAGTGCAAACTGGCATAAGTGCGAACTGGCATAAGTGCGAATTGACATAAGTTTGCCAAATAAAGTTGCAAATATTGGCATTAGTGCAAATTGGTATTTTGCATTTATGCCAATTCGCACTTATGTTATAAAAAAGTACTCAATCTTATTAGATCAATATACATGGGGTTGATGTTATAAAACTTTTTATTGGCATAAAATGCAATTGGCGGAAATTTTACTCTTGGAATTTTTACTGCCGTAAAAAGACGTAAAATATTTTTTAGTTCAATGTTATGAAACTTTTCCGCATCAAATTTTGCTGATATCTATGCTCTGAATTTATTTTTTGAAATCTATTGTCCGGATCAATAACATTCTTGAGACATAAAACTTTGTCAAAAACAAAGTATTTTTGAGTTGAAATTTCAAAAACATCATAGTTAACAAACTGAAATTTTAAATTCAGTATTCTCATGAACTTGGACTATTCCAATTCTGATGAAGAATATTTTGTTGCTGCAGAATATTTGACAAATTAGAGACAACCGCGAGAAGTAAAACAATTCAAACAGTATTTAAACTGTTAAGAATACAATTTAAAAGTAAAAAAATTTGTATAGTTTTTTCTATAAAAATAACTTATAAAATTTTCTATAGCCATTTGGAAACAAATGGGCTATAGAGGTACCAATTGTGTCTGTGAGGTCGAAAACAGACTACCAATTGCGATTCAATAAAATATTCTATAGAATTTTTGTAGTTGGAATTCTAAGACCATTTGTTTCAAAACTCAATAGAAAATTGTGTTGATTTAAATTTAGAGAATCTATATCAATTTTTTATATTTGTTATAGGAAGAAAAAATAGGAAGATTGCATAAATAAACTTTTTTTAAATGACTTAAAATATTAGATAATTTAAAGAATTATAAAGAAATTCATTATGTAAATTTCTATAATAAAAATTTATTTAGACACAAATAAATATTTAAACATAAAACTCTTTTTTTTGCTTTCGATTAGAATTTTATCCACAATATGTTTTGACGTGCTTTTTTACCATAGAGAATATGAGAAACCTTGGGAAACAATTTGCACATGATACCTAAACACTTTCTGAATAAAAAAAAAATCTTTGATTTTGTTGTTGGTTTATCTGACTTTATCCATAATATTTGAGCTCATACCATATTCGAGCATAAAAGGTAATTTCTAGAACTCTAATAAATCTGTTTGTAGTTTGACCACTTGTTTTACTATTTCGAATATATATATATATATATATATATATATATATACTTAACAAAATATCTGAAAAATCCCCGACAAACTGTATAAAATGGCCACACCAGACAACTTTGTCCGACTCGCCAAAAACCAAAACTACAAAAACTAATATGACCAACATCAAACTCGTAACAGTTTATCTTCTGGGCAAATAATCCTTGCTTACTCAAAGACCAAAAAACTAAGAGCTAAACTCGCCTCAAAAGATGTTTTACTTCAACAACTCATAATATTTATCACTGAATTTTGATTCACCGACACATCCGACACAAAGATAGAAGGCTATTAATTTCTTAACGAAAACAGAACTTCTAGAGGAGTAGAGTAGTACTTTTGAGTAGAGCCATCAATTCTAAAGAAAAACTTTGTTGTTTACACTCCAAAGTTGACCAACTCAATAGCAACACTAGCATGCAAGTCTGGATCAAATTAAAATTTCATAACAAAATGATCTTTCTAGGCTCTATTTATTGCCCTTATGATATTATTGCGTATGGCAAATTTTACTTTAGCAACACTACGTATTCAAACGTCAACGTTGGATTTGGTATCGCGACTGCAGCGTATGTGCAAAACAACTAGCCAACAGATAGCAAATAACAAGGTAACAAGAATCATTTGACATAATATGTAACATTTCCAACCTACCGCAGTACTAGCGAGGATCCTCCTAAAAATACACCCGACTTGATTCTAACCAGATATAACATTGATAATAAACCAGATCAATGAGCCAACGTAAAAGAAGCTAGTCCTTTTGGCTACACAGCCAAAAGCAGGCCCACTTTTTGATTGAGGAAAGTATAGTGCTTCTTGGCCAAGAGCAGCCGTGGCGCAGTGAGCAGCCGTGGCGCAGTGGTATCACACTTGCCCCACAAACGTAAGATCCGTGGTTCAAACCCCACCTCTGGGAAGTTTTGCGACATCGGTTGGGAAAGAGGCGTGAACTTCCTATTAAATGCTCTTCCGCAGTGCTCTGTGATAAGACCGTAAGGACTTCTTGGGGCACCTTAATCAACTTAAAAAACAAAAGATACTAGTCAAATAGATATTAACTATTATTTATTATTATAATTGCATCTCTAAACTCTAAGAAAAAACGTTTGATATTGAGCAAAACCACTACTCAAACTACGACTCAACCTCATGCATATCGCAAAATTAGACGAGTATTCAGCTTTTGACAAGTTGATAATTTCCAAAAAATATCAACTATTAATGGAGAGGTATAACGAAGCAACATATACTATACGTTCCATCAAATACCATCTCTTATACTATGAAACACAAAGCATAAGCGACGAAAGACGTCAAAAACGCTGTTAAAGTAATAAGCAAACTCTGAAGCAAATTTATCGCAGATAGTCGTGCAAACTTCTACGCAAACAGCACAAAAATGCAAGTAAATTTGTTAAAACGTTAGTCAAAAGTTTCTCGTTTATAAAAACGACTGGTTAGAAAAAGCAGGCAAAACTCAAACATTATCTACTCATACATCAAGAGCAAGCAAGAAAAACACAACCGCATCCGTCAACTCAAAGCAACAAACATTCAAATAACAACAGACCCTAAAGTAATCTGCAACACACTAAATGATTATTTTTAATTAGTCTTCTAAACCGAGCCGAGAGGGTCTCTTCCAATATTAAACCCTTGTTCTACTAGCATACACTAACCTACACCTTCACAGCATACAAATCTGTCAAAAAAAACATTTGCACCTAATTAAAACTAAATTAATGGGTTTCGATGGTATTTACCGAAGCGTCCTTAAGTACTGTGCAGCAAGCTTTGCAGCCCCACTCAGCGTAATATTCTCCGAGTTGCTTGATACCGGTGAAGTACCGTCTCACTCAAAAAAAGGTGAAACCACAATCATGTTGAAGTCTTTAAACTACAAACTATCTCACGCACTTCTATTCTCTTGCAAGTTAATGAAAAGTCTTATTTACAAAAACATCACTGATCACCTAACCAAAATTAAACTTATCAGCCCTACTCAACACGGATTCAAAAAAAGAAAATGTTGTCTCTAAAAACTTTCCAAATTTCGCAACATCTTTACAAAAAGTTCCGACAAAGATTACCCAACCAACATTAAATTTACAAACTTTGCAAATGCATTAGATAAAGTTCCGCATCATTGTCTACTGCACAAGCTGAAATTGTTCGGGGTGACTGACATCTTGCACAAATGGATCGATTGGTGGCTAATATACTGCCTACAACGTGTAACTATTAGTAATAACAAATCTGAATGAAAAATATCTTCAGCGGTATACCACAAGAATCGGTTCTCGAATCACTTCTATTTCTTGTCTAATTAATAATCTACTAGACAAAATACTACACCATTACAAAATATTTGCAGACTACTGTAAAATAGGCGGGGTAATCAAATCGAACAAAGACGCCATAAAACTCCAAGCTGACATCAGTGAAATGGTCATAAGCATGGTTCATGTCTTTTAATGTCAATAAGTGTGAAGTAATAGCTAAACCTGAGCAAATTCAACACCGAACTGCAAAATATATCTCTACCATAAAGCAATCACCTTACACTCAGCGATCAAAACTATCAAAAGCTTATCAAAACTAAACCTGGCAACGCTAACCAAACAACGAGCAAGAGGAAATAGAGATCTCCTCTTGCTTGTCGTTTTGAATAATACAATATTAATAGCAAAATCAACTTATTTAACCTTGCAGTCTTGTATCATTTTAACCTTTAAACGCAGCAAATTCAACAAATCTAAATAACATCAAACACGAACTATCTTTCCTATAACACCTTAACTGTAATTTGAAAGCTAATTTTTATTTATACTATATTTAGACTATTTTTATTTAAAAGAACTTTTTTTATTCTTCATTCAATAACTTGTAAATTTTTATTAATTGTGAATAAGTTAAATTAAATTATATTTTTAAATTTGTTTTTTTATTTCCTGCAATTTATTTGCTTTGAGTCTTTTACGTATTAAATCATTTTGAATATTTTTCTATGATTACAATGATTTTTTGATGGTTACGATGGTTCGATTGTACGATAATTTTTTTGACTTAACTTAACGTAACTTTTTTTTTTATTTTTTACATCAAACAAGCGCATAAATAAATCAAAATAGAAAACTATATTGCATTTCTTATACTTTAATAATCATTGTTAAAATATTAAACAATTTGAATTATTAACATTCTTAAAAGTTATTTTAGAGGCATAAAATATTGGATGTATTTTTAAAGTCTGAAGAGCTTTCATCGGATTTGCCTTATTGACTCCTTGTATAGCTTTTTATGCGAAATCGCAAAATCTAGTTAATCAAAATTGATGGTAGCTAAGTGTTTCGGTGATTGCTTAAAACATAACTTAGTTTTTAATATTATTATAAATTATAGCTATCAATTATAACAATGGAGTACTGGAGTTGAATGTAGATATTATTAAGAGAATTTAATATCTAGAATTAATGTGAAATCAAACGAATTAGACTTCATATTTTGTTGATCAACCGTTAATAACCGATAGCAATTAATAACAATCAATAAACCGTAACGTCATTATTGCATTCAAATGAGAAAATCATTTTTTTTAAACTACAGAAAAAATACTTTATAAATTTTTGTTGCAAAACTCCTAAGTTGTTGGCAAAATTGTTGACCATTTTAATATAAAAAAAATGAAAACTGCAGTTGGAAATTTTAAAGCAATTTTTATTCTTTCGTCAAGTTTAGTTTTAGAAAATACTACTCTAAATTCAAGCCTATCAACAGAAAAAGGAGACAAAATTCACGACGTAATTATAATTTTTTTAACTTGCTTAGTAAGCGCTGTTGCAACCTCAGGAAACCTGTTTATAATCTATCTTTACTATAGCAACAAAAAACTTCAAACCATTAATAACATTCCTTTAATTTCCCTTGCAGTGGCTGACCTAATTATTGGACTTTACCCAATAAACACAAATACACTAGAGACTATTATAGGGTATTGGCCCTTTATTAATTTGTTATGCGAGCTAACGCTAGTCACAGATTACTCATGTTGCCAAGCATCAATTTATCATGTTATTATAATCAGTGTTGATCGTTATTATTCGATAAAACAACCTTTATTATACAGAGGAAATAAGAGAAAATCGGTTGTGAAAATTTGTTTATTATTTCTTTGGTCTATATCCTTTATGTTGTGGGCACCAATCATAACATTGTACAAATATGTATTAGGAAGATCTATTAAAACACTATGTTATAAAGATTTTTTAACGTTTGATAACATGAAAGTTTATAACTTTGAAACATATTTTTTAATTGCATCAATAGGAGTAGGATATTTTGTTGTCATTCCGGTGGTAATCTTGATATATTGGAAAATATACTTTTTGATAAAAGCTCGTTGCAGTGTTATGCAACATCGCAATCATCAAATTTCAGTAATTTACAGTTTGAGAAAAAAAAGTTCAATAGAATTTAAAGATCAGACTAAAAATCAGAAGAACACAACAAAAAACTTTCCTTCAAACAAGTTTTTACAACAAAGAGAACTTTTAAGAGATAAAAAAGCTTTAAAAATGATAGCTGGTATATTAATGGTTTTTGTTGTAACATGGTTTCCATACAATTTGCAAATGGTATTGTTACCATTTTGTCCTAATTGTTACAACAGCTATGCATTTGACATAAGTGACATTCTTTCATATTCTAACTCGGCTGTCAATCCCTTTTTGTATGCATTTGTGAACCCAGATTTTCGTTCGTCAATGAACAAAATGATTAAAAAAGTAAGCGGACTTGTAAACTTTCAAAAAGTTTTTGTCAAATAAATACTACAAACTTTTCAAAAAGGTATCCATTTAAACTTTTTGCATTTAGAATAGTCTCAAAAAGATAAAAAACTATTATATACTAATCAATAATATATAATAAAAATTTGCATTTAGTTATTTTAAAGGTTATATTAAAAAAAAATTTGTTTAACTCCAAACTTATAGAAGGTTTTGTTCAAACTTATAGGTAGTTCCTAATAATTTTCTTGACTTGTTTTCTGAAAATAAGACATAAAGAGGTAGTTGACATCTTTTTGCAACGCTAACAATTATAAAATAAATTAATTGAAATTTCATATATTTTTAAACTTTTTTTAAGGTAATAGTTTATTCAACATAATAAATGAATATAAATAAAAAAAAATATGTATTGAGTGAAACTGAACTAGTGAAAATGTTAAAAGTTAAAATTTTTGACATATGATGTCTCATATATAAGCTTAAGTAAAAACTAATTATTAAATAATTAAACTAAAATTAAAGATGTAAAATGATAAGATTTTAAACCATCAAAGTACACTTTAAAAAAACGAAAGGTTTATCAAAAGTTTCCGGTTGAATAATATTGAACCGGTAGTCTTTGAAGATTTAATTTATTGAATATTAAATAACAGCAAATAAATAATTGATCAATTATATAAAAAACAATTGCTACATGTACAAAATATTGTTTTCGCAACCAGGTTACCTGAATATTTAGGCATCTTGTTACTTAAGCTGTTTCAATGTTTGCCATTTTTAATTTCTAAACTAAAATGTCTACGATAATGCTAACGCACTTGAGTGAAAATTTTCGTATTTTTGTTTTAAAAACCATAATTTAAAACTATTGAACTAAAAAAATTTAATTTTAGTAGCAAAGTTATATAAACCACAGAAAGTCAAATTTTAATTAAATTTTCTAACTATTTCTATTTAAGTTGTTATAGATGATACTAGTCTGTTTTCCCCAGAGTGTATTCAGTATAGGCTCTGTGTAAAAGAATACTTTTTTAATTCAACTTATAGTTAATTATCCTTGGTTTTAAGTTGGTACCTACCAACAGTAATGTTGGAGGTTGTTAAACAAAGTTGTAATAGATAATTAAGCTTAATTATTACAATACTTGTGTTTATACGAGCCAATTAACCTTTGATTAAGTAATGTGTAAGATGACTAAGCCTATCTACGACTATAAATTTTTGAACATTGAACGTGTAAAATGATGTCAAAATGATATGAAGAACTTAAGCAAAGACATTAAATGTTAACGGAGATTATTTAGAGACAAAAGTTGACAAAAGTAGAGATTTTATGTATTTCATTAAAAAAAAGCTGTAGCATAAGATAAATTTTTTATTTCGGTTATCTCTATTGTAATTACCGTTATTTCTGTTGCAATTTTGGTTATTTCTGTTGCAATTTTGGTTATCTCTGTTGCAATTTCGGTTATCTCTGTTGCAATTTTTTTCATTTATTTAAAAAATTTTAAAAAAGAAAAAAAAATTTTCAACATTTTTATTTTAGCTAGGTTTTAACCCAAATTTGGGTAATATTTGGGTAAAACGACATTAGAAACATTTTTATTTATTTAAAAACTCAACATAGTTACAATATAGTATCTAAAAATATTTAATTCGTCATTATGAATTAAATTCGTCATCATGAATTAAATTCGTCATCATGAATTAAATTCGTCATCATGAATTAAATTCGTTATCATGAATTAAATTCGTCATCATGAATTAAATTTGTCATCATGAATTAAATTCGTCATCATGAATTAAATTCGTCATCATGAATTAAATTTGTCATCATGAATTAAATTCGTCATCATGAATTAAATAGAAGTTTATAACTTATTTGCAAAACTAGGGTTTGCAATCACGGGATCCCGAAATCCCGGGGATCCCTCCTTTTTTATAATCCCAAAATCGTGGGATTGTCTAATATCAATCCCGGGATTCCCTATACGGTCGAGCAAAACAAAGGGGAAATCAAAAAATATATAAAAATAACACAATTTATGTGCAGCAATATAATAATTTTTTTTATTTAGTATAATATCGCCGAAAGTAATTCTATTTTCAGTTATTCTGTTCTGTAATTCTGCAAAATAAACTTTTTTAACTCAAAAAAAACGCGCTATTCTTACAAAGTGTACTCTTAAAATTAAAACTTAAATAAGCATGGCGTATATGGATTTTACAATTAAAAGTAACTCAGCTGTTTGGAAATATTTTCTACGAGAAGAGAAAGGGCAAACAGCGATGTATAAATTGTCAAACTGCAAGAAGATTTTAAAAATCTGTGGTGGTTCAACAAATGGGACTTCATATACACATGTTGTCGGTGCATAATGTAAAGGTCAAAAGTCCAACCCAACCTTATATTACCGGAGAAAGCACATCAGATAAACTACCAAAAAAGAAATCTAAACCACTTACAGGATACTTTTCGATTTTTGAGAAGGAAGATAAAACACTTCACGCTACACTTGCTCGTCTAACGGCGTCTAACGGACTTTTATTTAATGTGATTTGTTCCTCAATCGATTTACGTGCTGCTCTAACTGCTATGGGATTCAGAAAATCTACCAACGTCAGTAAACAAATTTGTAATCATGTAGTAGAGTACCGCAAAAAAGTAAGATTACGTTTAGTTCAGCAAATTAAAGCACTTAAGAGTACAGAATTCGGGGTAGGAGGGAAAATTTCTTTTTCTTTTGACGAATATACTTCAACTTCAAAACCGTCGCTATATGAATATTAACGTTCATGGAAAAAACTCTCAGTTTTGGAGTTTGGGTTTAGTGCGAATAACAGGGTCAATGCCTGCAGAAAAGTGCATTGAACTATTAGAAAAAAAAACTTAAAAACCATTGTCTACACGGCGACATTGTAGCTATAATGACCGACGGAGCTAGTGTTATGAAAAAAGTTGGAAGGTTGCTGGCTGCAAATCAGCAATTAAGTTTTGCCCACGGCATACAACTTTCTGTAATTGTTGTTCTTCATAAAAAAAAGAGAATTCGATGCAAATCAGCCAGAATTTGAAAATGAATTTTTTGACAGTGATTCATCCGAGAATGAGGATATTGAGGAAGATTTACTGGGCTACAATGATGAAACTTTAAGATCTAAAATTGAACTAAATGAAGTTTATTATGGATCAGTCATTAAAAAAGTACGCAAGTTGATAATAATTTTTAGACGATCACCTACCAAGAACAACATCTTACAAAAATATATTAAGGCTGAATTTGGAAAACAACTGTCTTTAATTATGGATTGCAAAACAAGGTAGAGCAGCTTTCTGTTAATGCTTAAACAATTTTGTAAAGTATAAAATTTTATACAAAAATGATTTGACAATATTATCAGACATTATTACAACTTTAGTTCCTATTAAAGCAACGGTTGAAGCACTTTGTCGTCAAGATTCTAACCTATTTACAGCTGACATTGCTATTAACTTTATGCTTACAAAGTTAAAAGGTGCTGACAATGACACAAGCAAGGAAATGCGTACAGCTTTAATGGCTCGTATACATGAACGCCGAACTGATATGAATGGACTTCTGCAATACCTGCATAAAGGTCGAAGCTCCGTTGAAGTCGATGAAGAAATAATTACAGTGCCTTCTTCATATAAATGTCAAAAACTGATGGTAGAATTGCTGGAAAGATTAAACGCTTCCAACCCTGCTTTAGTAAGAGCATCAGTTGAGTCTGACATGGTGGATTTTATTAAAGAACCTGAAACTGAAAATAACACTTTAAGTATTGAAGAGGACCTTGATTGTGTAATTAAAGAAGCGCAATCAGCAATGCAAACAGTTAGGCATGAAACAATGTTATCAAACATTATTTGAAAATGGTGGTACACGTGGTGATTATTTAGAAAGAGTTTGTTCATTTCTAATGACGGTGAAACCGACAAGTGTCGAGGCTGAGCGGGCGTTTTCTTCCGCTAGACTGTTTAATAATAAAATTCGTAACAGGTTGGGCGATGAAAAATTGGACGCGTTGTGCTTCCTGAAGTCACATTTCAAAGCACATGAAACATGATATATTTCCTTATTTTTAATTAAATTTCTTAACATAAATTAGCATGTTTTTCTTGTGTATATGTAACGATGGAATTCAAATAGCATCATTTATAAAATATATTTTTGTTTAAGAGTGTACATTTTTTATTCTACTTAATACTATTTAGATGCTATATCTGTTTTTCAATCCTGGGATCAATCCCGGGATCCCGGGATTGATGTTTCTCAATCCTGGAATCCCGGGATTGAGAAAGACCTCAGGGATTACAAACCCTAGGCAAAACGTTTCAATCCAAGAAATTTTGTATATGAAAATAAATATCCAGAAATCTTTAGATAAACATCTTACTACAATTTTAAATCTTTTTTTTGTGCCTTATTTGATTGTAGGTGGGTGGTTGAACTAACTTTGGTTTTGATTGAACCTAGATTTGATATTTTTATTACACACTTTTTTTATTAAGACTACAACTATTTTTAAATAATCACTGATTGATAATTAAACTTTTGTTAAGTCATGTCAATGAAATAATCTAGAAAAACAAAACAAAAAAACAACTCAAGTTGTACAAAAAAAAAAAAAAAGTAACTTGTTAACTCAAATTCTAATAATTACACAACGTTTTAAAGTGTTTTTTACCTTCAAATAAACAAGGAAACTAGTTGTTTGTTTGTTTTTTTTTTTTTTTTTTTTTTTTTTTTTTTTTTGTTTATGCGACACAATGATCGCAACAAGCGACCAACGGAGCCGTCCAGTTTCGTAGACCTGAGAGATGTGATAATAAAAACAGTTAGAAGATGGTGTCATTGAATAAAAAATAAAAATCATAAGAAAATACAAAATGAGTGATGAGACTTTTGTGAAGGTAAAGAACGAAGTAAATGCTCGGAACGAAGAACGAAGTAAATGCTCGGAACGAAGAACGAAGTAAATGCTCGGAACGAAGAACGAAGTAAATGCTCGGAACGAAGAACGAAGTAAATGCTCGGAAGGCAAAGAGAGAACAATTAACACTCTAATCACTCTGTATGTAGATCATATGTAACAAAGAACAAATATTTGATATACTGATTTTGAAGACTGTTTATGTCTACAGGTGTGATGGTGTAGTGCATTAGTACGTACCGTTTGTCGTCTAGTATGGTCTCGTTATGTTTCCGTTCACTTTCAAATCGAGTGAATAGAACATGAAAAAACAAAAACAAAAAAACTCAAGTTATACAAAAAAAAAAAAAAGTAACTCGTTAACTCAAGCAAACTCAAGCAAACTAGTTGTTGTTTTTTTTTTTGTTTTTTTTGCAGTTTCTCTGATTTTTTTTTTCTGGCCAGAAAAAAAATTGTTATTAAAAAAACTCTCCAAATGGAATTTTTTTATTTTATGTTCAAAATGTCATATTTAATGCAAAAAAATTCCAAAATCATAATTTATAAAATGAATAATATTTTTGAAACTTTTATATAATTTTTCTTTATTTGAGACCCAACATGAGACAAATATATATAATGTATAAGGGATTTATTAAATGTTCAAGGGTTCTTGGGCACCTCTTAAAATATATTTTATTCGAAAAAATTTTAAATCTGATATTTTATCATTTAGGGTTAGAGCAAACTCGAAGGTGGGGGAGAAGGTGTGATACGCAAACTTTAAAGCACTTTAACATTTAATCACTTAATCGTGTTTCTTGCAAAATGGAATTTAGTATTTTAACCAAGCAATAAAAAAAATTTTAGGATAGGTTAAATTGTTAGGAAAGTACGGCTTATGTCTAGAAGTTCATTTATGGCATATATAAAAGGAATTTCATAATTATTATTTGGGCAAAACATTTCAAAATGAGGTAAATTAGTGATGCTGCCTTACAAAAATTATAAATAATGTTTTAAAATTCTATCGGTGATACTGTCTTACAAAAAATTATAAATAATGTGAAAATTTCGAAATATTATTCCATCGTGACTGCACACCTGATCCTGACCGACAAGAGAAAATGACTATGATTTTGAAAATATGCAACATCTGGAGGAGACCAGTAGAGAAGACCTTAGCCAACTGGTTCGATTTACTGTTTCAAATCAACATTATCAGCAAATTGATGCAATCAAAAAATATTCAATGTGACAATGTTTATGAAAAATTGCAAAGAAAATGGATTTGTGTCTGCTCTAATTTCAGCCAGCAAATTTTCTTAAGAACTAGAAATATAATTAGATGAAATCGTATTTCTAGCTGCCATAAACCTGAGAAGAATGAAAGACTGCAAACAGATTGATTATGAAAGTATAGATGAGTGATTGACAGATCTAATAGTAAAATATCAAGTTAAATTTTTTAATGTTATGTTAAATCAAGTAGCTATATCGTTAACATTTTATTACACATTTCGAGAAAATGGAAATTCAATAACGTTACACATAATATGAAATTTCCAGCATCACCTTTTGTTTCAATAGTCTCATTATCACCATTTCTGAGCTCTTTAAGGGCATCTATTATATTATCTAGATGTGACCTAAGAGCATAAACAGTGTTATGCCTGAAACTACACCTGGTGTTGCAAAAGCGTTTTAAATTAGTTTTGACTCTTCAAAACATCCCATATACTAGTTGAGACTGAAAAGTTAGTGCAAATCTTTTTTATAGATTTCTAAAGAAAGTTACCGTCTGTGTACCACTACTCTTGAGTCCTTAATACAAGGGGTGATACAAAAGCTATTTTTTCATAGTTTCAATAGGATTTAATATGCTGATATAAGTTTTATACTTGAGAACGTTATATACGAGTTTTATACAGTGAGAAATTAACCAAAAGCTTATTTTCGACAAATCCAGATTTACTAGGTCGACGTTTTTTAAAATTTGTTTGCACTAAAATTTTTTGTTTTTATCAGTGACTGAAAGAACCATTTTCTAATTTTAAACGCTGATTTTTACTGATTATTATTATTTATTTTTTTTTAGTTTTGAAATATAATTCTTTTTGTTGATAACAAGTAAAAATTAATAAATGGGCAGGGGGAGGGGTTCTAATAACCATGGGGTGGGTGAAAAATTTTTCCAAAAATTAATAAACGTCCCCCCTTCCTTTTATTTATTAAGGACTTGAGAGTACCTACTGCACGCACACTAGCAAGATTCAGCGAATGTTTATTGCATGGTATAAAATGAAATTTGGGATTAATTGCTAAGATTTGTTTTTTCGAACTCCACTTTTATGAGGAAAAAAAACATTTCCACGTTTTCAGAAACGCAATAAGACAGAAATTTGGCGGGAAAAAAACTCATTTTTCATAAGCATCCTTACTTCCAGAATTCATAAAAAAAGATATTTAAAAAGTGGCAGCTAAATCACTTTATTCCAAATATAAAAAAGGTAAATGCTTCGTAATAACTTAAGTGCTCATATATTAAAAGCCTTAAAAATTTGTGAAAAGTATAACATAAAGTTTATATACATGGTTGAGCTTAAAAGCCGACTGGAGGTCAGTTCTTAAATTATGCCACCTAACATCCGTGGAAAAAAGGTTGTTAACCTGCTAATAAAACATTTTTCCCAGCTCATTAAATCTATTTTTAATATTGGTAAAGAAAATATAAATTATAATCTTTAAGTAGGATTTAAGGTTACTGGTTTTTCTTTTGATCCGAACGTGTTCTCTCCAAGTTACCCAAGTTTACAAATATACTCAACTCAATATTGAAAAATCGTTTAAAAATATGTTGATAAAATCCTTACATATGATTATAGTTTGGTAGCAAAAAAAAAATTAAAATTACTAAAAACAGCAGGGAAAAATGTATATTGTATATGTGGCATACTATAAAAAAAGAGACAAAAGTATCAAAAAAAATCAAAGTATTACTTGAGCAATGAATGGTGGAAGGCTACTTGGATCAAAAAAAAGAGTTATGGATAAAAGAATAAAAAATTACTAATATTTGACAAAGTTCAATTGTTTTAAGTTTTTATTAAGTTATTAGATTAGGTCAATAACAGACGCTACTTTGAATTAGTCTTAATGACTATTTGTGGCTGTTCCTATGCTAAGCCAACAATATCTTCGAATATAACATTGTATAAAAAAATATAGCATGAAAATTCAAATAAATAAATTAAAAAAAAAAAAAAAATTAGAAACAATAAGGAAATAATCGCATTTTTACTTGCGTCTGAAAATGATTCTTTTACCTGAATAAGAATACTTTGATATCACAGATCACATGACTTTGGAAATCATGATTATGTTATTAAAGAACTTGTTTCATCTCAAAATAATAGATATTTTAAAGTGTGCTAGAAAGTCTGTTTATTCCAAATATGCCTGCGAAAGTCTGTTATTTGTTCCAAATGTGTCTGAGAAAGACTATTATTTATAAGATTTTAAATGTGTTTGAGAAAGTAACGATAAAGACTGCGATTTGACCACAAAGATTGCTAGCTTAATAAGCTTAAGACCCAATGGCAATTGCGGCTAGCGTCATATCGTGATAAAATTGCTGTTTAAAAAATTTTGATATGTAGCTCTCAATCAGCTATAGAATTGTAGATATTTTGTAACTAGCTACAAAAATTTATTGAAAAACATTTTTATTTATATATTGAAATTGAATTGAAAAAGCTACAAAGCTTATACGATACGATATGTAGTTAGCGACATATTGCTACAAAATCGCAATGTTTGAAATTCAATTATTCTCATAATTATAATAGACTCAACACTGAAAGTTGAATTTTTAAAGATGTTAAAGACGTTAGGAAAAAATAAAATAAGAAAAAAAAATTGCTTGAAAATTGCTAAAAAGCTTGCTAATCGCTGCTCATTTCCCACCGGGTTATTTATTCTAAATGTGTCTGAGAAAGTATTTTAAAGATTTATAAGGTTCCAAACTTTGATGTAGTTGTAATTCTTTTTTTTTTCCTTCTTTTTTTATAATTTATTTCGTCACTATATATTTTACATACAATTAACTTTAATTCATGTATACATTTATAAATAAGATAAAAATTAAAATAATAACAGGAGCAAGTAGAAGACTGCAGTCTTATCATCAAGCCCCTTTCATTTGCGACTTTGCAATAAGTTTCACGTTTTTGCAATAAGTTTCCTTAAACACGAATTTGCAATAAGTTTCCTTAAACATAATAATATTTAGTTTTTTTTTATAATAAATGATGTTAAATTATGTTTTTATTTAGTTAAATTATTTTTTTGTAATAAACGATTGAAGAATTATGTAAATACAGTCTTTAAAACTTTTTTCTTTCATAGCCCTAAAATCTGATCAACGAATTTATTTAATGATTTGTAAATATTTTATTTAATAACTTGTTTGTTTTATGTCAAAACGAGTTTTATTTTTTAGATTATTTGAAAACAATATAAAGAATTCGAAACAAATTTAAAAAAAAGAATAAAATCGACATTAAATTTAATAATATTCAAAGTTACCCCAAATACAAGTGTAACATAAACTTTGTTTTTTTATAAAATAACAAGTTAAAATATTTTGATAATAATTTACAAAAATGAGAACAACAGAAAAACCTTTTATGCAAAAATTTTTATTATTTATAAGGCGTTCAAAGTTACCCAAAACGGTTGTAATGCAACGAAAATATGTAAATATTTGATTGAAAAAATCTATTTTTTAATTATCGATAACTTGTTGCATCGGTATCGCAATTTTTAATGTGGATACTTTGTTGCTTCGCTGTCGCAACTTTTAATCTTGATACTTGAACCTTGTATGGCAAACCAGCGGCATTATATTTTTACGTAACTACTCGAGTAGCCTACAATATTGGCGCAATGTTGTTTACATTATTTAAACTATATAAAATATTTTGCGCCAACTTTGTTTGTTACTCGGGTACTTGCGTCAACTTATTATCTCATATAATCTTTTTTAACATGTAAAACTCATCTGTAATTTATTTTAACAGTGATATTTAGAATGAAATGAAAAAAAAAAAAAAAATAATATCTAACTCAAACACTTAGTAAAGGAACACACTTTGTAAAATCCAGTTTATTAAAAAGACAATCAAGTAAAATTTACGGACACTATTATGCGTCAAAAATTTAACAAGTAAATGGAACATAAGAATTTGAATAAAACAATTAAATTAAAATTAATTGTTTCCATGTTTTTTTTTAGAGCTTATGTCTCACGTATATAAGGTATATACTCACGTATATAACGCATATATATCCTCCCGCATCAACTTGGGTTTAGTTAAGTAAAATGTTTGTTGTTCTCAAATTACTATAAAGGCGAGTTTCCACTCATCCGTTTTTATACGAGAACGGGAAAAGGAAGGGAAAAATAATCACGTGGGCATGCGTAGTATATATTTTAATATGTCCGAAGAAAAACTACGCATGCTCACGTGATTATTTTCCCCGTTCCCGTGAAAAAACGGATGAGTGGAAACTCACCTTAAAACAGCGTAAATTACTTTAAAACAACGTCAGTTATCTATTTAAAATCTAAATAAACTTGATGTACCCTACAACCTAATGCACTCCTTAAAAGTTATTTTTGATTATGCAATACTATTTATGTTAACGTCGTGGTTGTCAGTAAATATCTGTAAGTGTTAGTAATGATTTAATTTGTATACCTTAAGGGCTACGGTTTGAATTAATGGCACTCTATTAAAATCTCATCAATTGTTTAATTGTTTAATTGTTTATATATATATATATATATATATATATATATATATATATATATATATATATATATATATATATATATATATATATATATATATATATATATATATATACATATATATATATATATATATATATTTATATATATATAATATATATATATATATATATATATATATATATATATATATATATATATATATATATATATATATATATATATATATATATATATATATATATATATATATATATATATATATATATATGTATATATCTTTATTGTTTAGTAAATGAAGGTTTTATTTTAACAAGTGAGTTTTAAAATTTTAAGAAAAACACATTAAAAAGTTATTTTTGTTGTCATAGTACATAGTTTTAATGTTTATTAATCATTAGTAGTTATTTGGAATGTTTATAAGTTATCCAACTGTGAAGTTGTGAAGTAATGTTTATAATCTAAAACAAATGTTTACAACAAATTTAAACTAGATGACAAATCTAAGACGATAGCTTGCACAGCTAAAATACCTACTCCATGATTTTAATAAGAAGAATATCAAAGATAACTGAAAAATATAAAGAGATAAAAAATACTTAGAATAATTTAAAAGCGAGTAAAAATGCTTTAAATATCCTGTATTGATTCATATCAAATGTAATTCTAAATTGTAAAATATGCAAAAATAAATATTATATCTAATATTCTCTACAATACGCGTTTGAAAATATAAATAATGTAATATACTTTATATATGATTAAGAAGGTAGAACAATAATCTAATTTTAGAACAATAAAAGATAAAACTAAAAAAACAATACAACAACAGATAAAAAAACGAAAATTTGAACAAATCGTTCGAAATTTCGTTTGCACAATATTTTTGTGATATTATTTGTACTTATAATACATTTATTGCACGGCCAACGACACAGGTTTCAAAGTAGAAGGGTATAATCGTCAAATTTTAAAAAAATTCTCTATATCTAGAATTTTCTTAAAAATAAAAAATAAAAAAATAAAGTAACTGCTACATAATCCAGGTGGCACGTGCCTCCCTGACCCCCCCCCCCCTCAAACAGATATCGTCGTCCCTGTATTGTAATAGACTTTTTATATTAAGAATAACAGAAGATATCTTCTGATAGAAGAACTGATTTTCTTTTTTTATATCCAAAAAATGTTTTGTATAACATTAAACCAACAAAGAAAAGATTTTGTTTTTTAGAAAACCCAAAATACCCGAAAACTAATTTTAAAAAACTGCTTTCTCCTACAAAACACTGGATTTTAGATTTTTGTTAAAAAATTAGGCTTATTTTCCAACTCATTATTCAAAAGAATTCTACTAAAACAAAAATAAATGACAAATGATTTAGGAAACCTTCTGACACTAAACATTTTATTGTTGAAGCATTTTAAGCTGCGCCAACAGTTTGTTCAAAAAATGTCAACAAAGATTTGATTGCCTAAATTGTTTATAAAAAAGCTTTTAATCTCTTTGCTTCTGTATAGATAAAAAATAATATTATCTTTTATGACTTTTTTTTATAATAATAAAAGGGTGTTGAACATATTTTTTACCTCTTAACTTATACAAAGATACCTTAAGCATTTCTTCGATATTTCTGAGATTTTTCTTCGATATGAGTATTATAGATTTTTCTTCGATATGAGTATTATAGATTTTTGATATGTTATTTATAGTGTTTTTGCAAGAAATTAAATGTTTTTTTTAGGATCTTATATAGCAGTTAAAAGTTTTTCAATTCGAATATTACATTTTATCAAATAAAATGTGATGTAAGTCTGGAAAAAAAAACTTGTAAAACTCATATTTAACGTTAAAAAAATTTCGTAAATATTACTTCTAATGGATGACATCAAAAAAAGTTGTTTATTTTTATTCTTATTCGTTTTCAATTTTTAATTTTTTTTTTCCAGTCATTTAAAAAGTCTAAATGAACGCAAACTTAAAACAAACAATTTTTATAGTCATTCCAACTGTATTTTTGAATTCTAACATCAATTTAAATTCTAACATGGCAACAAAGACAAACGCGAATCTTACATATAAAGTGATTATCGCAATTTTATCGTGTTTGACAAGCTTGCTTATAATTTCTGGGAATTCTTTAATTATTTGCTTTTATTGGCGAAATAAAAAATTTCGAACAGCCACTAATATTCCGTTATTGTCACTAGCTTTGGTGGATTTAACAATTGGTTTCTATCCTTTAAACATGAGCACGATTGAAAATATTTTAAACTATTGGCATTTTGGAAAAATATTTTGCATATTTACGCTTGTGCTCGATTATGTTTGTTGCCAAGTTTCCATATACCATATTGTTTTAATCAGTATTGATCGATTTTTTAGTATTAAAAAACCTCTAAGCTATCGAGGAAGATATCGAAAGTCTCGACTTCGGTTATGTATTCTCACTACTTGGCTATTTTCGATTATATTATGGGCTCCTTGGATAATATGGTCAATGAAATTGGCTGAAAAAAAAAATTTGCAACTTAACAAATGCTATACTGAGTTTTTAAAATTTGATGGAACATCTTTTCACAGTAGCAAATTATATTTTATTTTAATTTCAGTTGGATTTGGATATTTTTTACCTGTTCCCATACTAATATGCATTTATTTTAAAATGTATTTCCTTGTGAAGAAGGAAATGGAAACAATTCCTCGGCTGACGTTAATGCGAAACAGTCGGTCATTAAATGACTCATCAACCAAATCATTTGTTTTTAAAAGCACAAGCTCGTACAATGTTGAAGCTATGAACGATGAAAGTGTTTTTAAACATCGAAACATTATAAGACACAAAAAAGCTTTGAAAATGATAGCAAGCATTGTTATTATTTTTATTTTTACTTGGTTTCCATATAATCTACAAATGATTTTACTTCCATTTTGTACTAGCTGCTATAATACCTTTTTGTTTGAAATAAGCAACGTTGTTTCATATACTCAATCTGCAGTTAATCCTTTTTTATACGCATTTGCAAATCAAGATTTTCGTTCAAATTTTAAAAATATATTAAAATGCAGAATCGGTCTTGTAATTAAAAAAAAAATCACATAATAAAAACATCTGATTTCCTTCTATCTCATCTTTTTATCCCATCATCTCAAAATTTGATATCTTTTACGCTTTAACATCCAAACATATCAAATATTTAGGACCAAAAATCAAGCATAGTCAATAAGAGTGAAAGAGAATAGAGCTAAAAGAAAGAGTGAAGAGAGAAAGAGTGAGAAAGACAAGAGAAAGAATGAGAGAGAAAAGAGCTGAAAGAATGAGAGAGTGAAGAGAGCTGAAAGAGTGAGAAAAAAGAGCTAAAAGAATGAGAGAGTGAAGAGAGCTGAAAGAATGAGAAAAAAGAGCTAAAAGAATAAGAGAGTGAAGAGAGCTGAAAGAGAGGAGTAAAGAGAGAAAAAGTGAGAGAAAAAAAAAAGGAATTGCTGTATGAAAAACTTTTTTAAAAATTAATTCCGGTGATCAACAAGTTATTTCAAAGGCTCTAACAAAACCATCCCACATCAATCCATTTTAATATATGCTCTTGAAAATTTCATGTTAGTCAATATTTAAACTATCAATCATTCAGCCATCATGATCATCAATTAGTCAACCATAAAGATCTTTATTTCTAATTACTGTTGTAAATGTTTACTTTATTAAATGAATTAAGTGTATTGTTGTTTTTTAATGTTTATATTGTTATTATTGTTTATATCGTTAATTACTGTTTATTTCAAAATTGCAATCAAAGTTTCAAAATTGCAATCAGATTTTTGATGAAATTGAAAGAAGTGTGAAAAAGAATTTTTTTCCTTCTTTGCACTTATTTCGATTTCATTGAACACATGATTGCAATTTTGAACATATCATTTTTGAAAAAAACATTTTTTTTAAAAATATATAAATCTAAATTCATGTTAACGGTAAAAAGTTTACAAGCTGTTAATTTCTAGTTTGAAATATTTTTGTGCTTTTGAAAACTATAATAATAACATAAGTATATAATAAAATCCTTAACTAAACTTTTATTTTAAGGGTACAAATGATCCGCACGTAAAATAATATGATACTGTAGAACCAAATGTTACTGTAATATACCTTGTAATATTATAAAATAAAGTAATTTACTTTTTGGTATAAATTTTGTAAAGTATGAAATTTTTCATATTCATTTTTAGAATATCATTTACAACAATAATAAGTTATAATCAAAAAATTTTTAAAATTACAGAGTTTATCATTGCAACTAACCAAGTAAACTTTACTAAAATAATCAGAAATTTTTTAAAAGTATAGATTTACAATCACAACAAACCAAGAAAACTTAACTAAGTTAATCAGAAAGTTTTTAAAAGTATAAGGTTTACAATCACAACAAACCAAGAAAACTTCACTATGTTAATCAGAAAGTTTTTAAAAGTATAAGGTTTACCATCACAACAAACCAAGAAAACTTTACTTGGATAATCGGAAAGTTTTTAAAAGTAAGAGTTTATCATCACAAAAAACCAAGTAAACGTTATTTTAAAAGTTCTTGATCTCGAAGTGTTTTCCTTAGTAGTATTTACATCAAAATGTTACGAATGTTATAAGTACGTTTCCCACAGCTCACCTGAAAGCGTATCCTTCGTTAGAATTTTATTGGAGGGAGATCACAGTTTACTACTGTAACTTGGTCTTGGATAATCTTTTACTGTTTGCTTTATTGTTTGTTAATGCGAAGCACTGAGTCTTATATTGTAAGAATTTTGTTATACTGTTATTTAGTATATACACGCTTTAGTTGGTCCAACTGTCGGGCCAGTATTGGCTGTAGTTGGGTAACTGTTGGCATTCCGTGCCAACCATTAACCGACTGTTTACCGCGTGTTTTTGAATCGTAAAAATTTCCCGTTAGTTTTTTAAATGTATTTTAATGTTTAGTGGTCCCAGTGAATAGTGTTAGTTTTATTTGAAGCAATTTATCTTTTTTTTTCTTTCAAACGCTTTTTTACCTTTTAATTAAACTCTTAAACTCAAACTCTCCTTCACCTTTTGATATAATTGTTACGCTGGTAAAAACAAATATTTTACTTTTATCCATTAGTTACACATTCAGATATAACTTTTGATATTTATTAGAGTTTTTAATTTATTTTTATGTTGACACCATTGTTGTATTTGTATTAGACATTTTTTTTTCAAAATTTTTTTCTTTAAATAGATCCTGATACACACACACACATATGTGTATGTATATATGTGTATATGTATGTGTGTATATATATATATGTATATATGTATATATGGATATATGTATATATATATATGTATGTGTGTATGTATATTTATGTGTGTGCGTATATATGTATGTGTATTTGTGCGTATTATATGTATGTGTAAATATATATATATATATATATATATATATATATATATATATATATATATATATATATATATATATATATATATATATATTGATGTGTAAGTATATTTATTTACATGTTTGTATGTTTAAATATGTATAAGTAATTATATTTGTATTTATCTGTGAATATTTGTCTATGAATTATTAAAGGATTATTTATTATTTAAAAACTGTTTAGGCGGTTCTCGATGACAAGATCTTATGATCTTCTGCGAGTATCCGCGTTCTTGTTGTAACGTTAACAAAATTGTAATTCTGACTATACGTATTTTATTCATTCTTATATTGTAAAACTTATTTTGAATAAATAAAAAGAACAAAAAAAAAAAAAAAAAAAAAAAAAATATATATATATATATATATATATATATATATATATATATATATATATATTATTATTATATATATATATATATATATATATGTATATATATTATTATAGTATTTTCTACAATAGAAGTTTGACTTCTATGAGCCGAGTGTCTAACGAGACCCGACTATAGTAGACCGACGTGAGGTAGAACGATTCCATTTGTCGTAATTGTTTTTGAAACGATCAACTGAATTTGCAGCAACTACCGAAGCAGGCAAAGCGTTCCATGATGGCACAACTCGGTTTTTGAAGAAGTTATGTCTTTTAGAGTTTTTCGATAATTCTTGTTTAATTTTATGTTTGGCACCACGAAGATGACCTGCAGGTCCATCACATAGGAGAGCACTTTGTCGGTTAATCTGCTGTTGCTAGTTAGTAATGTTTAACTTTTTATAAATTTTAAAAAATCGGATTTCATCTCCTCTTGTTCTACGTTCAGGTAATGAGCTGAGACCTTAGGTCATGGTAATGAGCTGAGACCTTAGGTCATGGTAATGAGCTGAGACTCAGATTTGCTAATCATTTCTCGTATTTCAAACTAAGCAATTGTGGAACGAGTTTGGTAGCTCTATGTTGGACTGATTCTAAATTTTTAATGTCTTTTAGGAGAAAAGGACACCAAATTGGTGCGCAGTACTCTAATATCGGTCATACATATGCTATATAGAGCTTCACGAACATACTTGGATTCCATTTTTTAAAAATTCTTTTGAGTATCCCAAGTACAGAGTATTCAAGCATGTAGTTGATAAAGATCAAAAAAAGAAGAGGTCCTATGAGTACCGATACTTGAGGTACACCACTCAGGACATCCTTCCATTCCACAGTGGGCCGCAGATCGGCATAAATGCCGAAAATGCGTATTTGTGGAAACTTTTTTTTTCAAAATATTAAAAGTAAATACCCCACAATAAAATCATCTGACGTTTAAACATTTTTTTATAGGAGTCCTGTGAAAGTTTTCAAGCTCGTCTATTTAAAAAACGTTTTTTTAAACAAAAACATAGAAAATACTCATAAAATTGAATTTAATCTCGTAAGAGCAGTTTTCTTTAATTTAATTAAAATTTTATAGTCTCAATATCAGGGCACATGCTTTATTATAGAAAACTTAACAAATAAAAAAATCTTGCATTTTATAACTTTTTTCTTAACTTGAAATATGACAGTAAAAGTATTAGAGAATATAATAAAAAGTTACCATAAAAGGCTCAAGATCTTTTTTCGCACACGTTTCCGCACTATGGGAATAACTTTTTTACAGAGTTTTATTATTATTAAGGTTTTTCATTAAAAATATCCTACGCAAAGTTGCGCGAATCAATGTTTTAAACTTACGACTTGTTTGTCCTATTTAAGAAAACTCACTAATGAAGATGTAATGCGAACATTATTGTGCAGTTCAGATCCAATTATTAGCTTTCTAAGAAGGAGTTCGAGATGTATTAAAGAACTTGAACTTAAAAATGGTTTTATTAAACTTTTGTTTTAACTTTTTTTTAATTTTAAGTTTTGTATATTTTTACTTTGATTTCTGATAAAATATCTAATAAATAAACGTTTCTTTATATATAAAAAGGGGTTTAACCTGTAACAAACATTTAACTTAATTAATGCTTCGAATATGGGAAAAACTGTTTCTAAAAACAACTAAAGGTTATGTCTAAAATCTCTAACGCCTCTACAACCTTTTCTATTAGGGTGTTTAGGGTGCCTGCATCCGCAAGAAAATAATTGTTTTTGACAACTTTAAAAATAAAGGAGTTATGATTTTTTGTTCATTTTATGTCGATCTTGGCCCACTGTGCATTCGGAAGAGAAATTTCCCAGAACAACCCGCTGTTTCCTATTTTCAAGAAAGTCCTTGAGCCAGGCCAAAATATTTGTGCCAAAACCATAGCCAGCCAGTTTGTGATAAAGCAGAAAATGTGATACACGATCAAAAGCTTTGGCAAAAACTAACAAAATGAGCAGTTCAGCACAATTGTCACTTAAGGCTTCGGTATTAATATCCATTACTTCAAGAAGATTTGTGACGCACGATCTAGATTTGACAAAACCGTGTTGATGGCAAGATAATAGATTATACTTTACTAGATGTTCAGTCATGACATCACACATTATTTTCTCTATTAGTTTTCCAATTGTTGAGGTGAGGAAAATAGGCCTGTAATTTCCAGGATCAGTACGCTGACCCTTTTTGAATATTGGCGTTATATTAGCAAATTTCTACCCAGAAGTTACTTGTCCAGAATCAAACGATAAATAGAGAAGAGAGAGGCACACAGAATTCTTTAGAGCAACTTTTTAGCACTCTAGGATGGATTCTATCATTACCAGTGCCTTTTGAAGAGTCAAGAGAAGATAAAAGTTTTTCAATTTTGCAACAATTGAACAAGGAGTTAGAAACTGGTGAGCAAACAATTTCGGTTCTTCGAGGAAAATCAGGAGCTTGGGAGTGAGTTTCAGGTGATGAAAAAGCTTTAAAAAATTGATTATTTAAGCAATTTGCAATAGATAGCGATTCCACGGCGCTAAAAAAAACATTTAACTTTTGACGAAAAACACCGAAATTTCATAAACTTTACTCTCTCATATCTTTTTGTAGAGTAAAGCATGGACGTATAAGAGATGAACGTGCAACGTATTGTTGTTTTTGCGAACTATGCTCAATAATTAGGCGTCTGTCTACAATCTTGACAACCATTTAAAACAACCATGACATTCATTTAAAACACCGCGACAATCAATTAAAACAAACATTTAAAGCATGCGCAATCTCAACATTCTATTTTATTTTGAAAAAAAGGTTTTCTTTATATTTTTTTTAAAAAAATTTAAAATTTTATTTTATTGTCATCTGACCTAAGGCACGCTTCGAAAAAGCTTTCGCAGTGTGTGTAACAGTTTGATAAGTTAACATTAGGAATAGATAAGCATGCTTCACGCATTCTTAAAATTAGTTCATTTCTTCCTGCTGGGGCCGTATTTCTTCGCACGTTATTCTTAAGATAAAAAAAATCTCTTCACACGGATTCAAGAATGGTGAATATGGTGGCAAATATTTTATTTAAATGTTTTGAGCCCTCATCTCAACATTATGATGGATTCTGACATTATCCATCACCAGGGTGAATTCTTCCTCTGTCCCCAAAACTTGTATAACTTCATCAATATATTCTTGAAACAAAACTGTGTTGACTGACACACTGACAGCTTGGCAGTGAATAATATTCAAACCATTGACGGACAATATCATCGAAACGTTACGTTGCCTAGGGTGAATGATTGGGTTTGGTGTTACTCCTCTTTTTGCCCATGAATGACTGCAAAATATGTGTAAATTAAATAAACTTTCATCAATAAAAACAATATTTCAATAGCGATTAATAGGCGAGATTGAAGTATACCACCTAACATATTCAATACGAAGATTTTTTACATCATTGTCGTTTCTTCTTTCATAAATTGGTCGAGTAATTTTATATGTGTATCCAAGATTGGTTACCCATCTCCAGACAGTTTTAATTGATACATTTACATTTAAAGCATATTTAATTTCAATTATAGTTGTCGTTGTGTTATCGTTTATAAGCTCTTCAATTCTTCTTCTAATATCTTCATTATAAATAACGTGACAAGCGCCACCTCTAGAACCAGGAAGTGTTGAATTCGTTCGATCGTACCATCTTAAAATTGATTGTATTGTGTTTCGATTAACTCCTGTTAACGATGAAGCTTCAGATTGACCCAATGGGCACACGGACCTCCATAGGACGTCCAAAACGGTACGTCCGGACGTCCAAAATGGACGTCCATTGGACGTACCAAATGAAACGACTTTCGTCCGTCCATTTTGGACCGCAAAAAGACGTCCAAGGACGTCCAAATCAGCCTGTTCGGAGGTCCTCAAAAGACGTATTTTGGACGTATTACGGACGTTTAAATGAAAATTTGACCGTTCATTTAACGTTTAATTTTATTTAGCTCATTCTCATACCGACTCTAACAACTATAAAAAATGGAGTCTTTTGATATAAGACATGAGGTCTTTATTTTTCACACAGGGCCTAAATTTAACATACACGTATTTAAGAGTTCCACACATGTTTCAACCCTCGCTAGGATAATAACTTGGTTATTGCATAAATAATTAAATCCCAGTATTGACACAAATCATTACAAAAAATAAAAAGAATAATATTTTTGACAATATAAATATATAAATACAATATTGCAAAAATTTTATTTTTTGGTTCGTTTCATTGTCGACAATGGCACCCTCGATGTTGCCTTTTTGACATTTTTGACAGTTTTCCGTGGAGTAGCTCCTCCTACACCTCTCATTTGAGTAACTTTTTATCAAAAAAAATTAAAACAAGATTAAATGTTGAACCAAAGTTAAAAACCATATAAAGTCTTATTATGAGACTATAAATTGTGACTACATAAGTGTCCACTTTTTTAAATAAATTTTTATAAGTACAAATCTATAAGCTCTCGGAACTAGAACGAGTATTCGGCAATGCTGACCTCACTGCCAACCTAAAAGTGTTTGAGGTTTGCAAAGATTACTGACCTTGTTACTATATTTTATGGTTTACCTTGCGTTTTCTTGCATTAGAACTTGTATTTAAAATATTTTCCATTACATCAAATTGCTCAATCGAATTAATAGGGTCTCTACCAATATCATCAACATTCACATCAAAATCAATATCTCCACTTTGTTTAATTATTTTAAGCTTATCAAGGATTTGTGCTTGTGATTCTTGGATTTGCCGAAAATTTTTCTGCAAGTCCATAAACAAAGCATATTGAAATTCTAAACAAGAAATCAAATCAAAAGAAGCAATAAGCAAAAGTTAAATATATAGATTCAAGAATCTTCAAATTTAGACAAATATTTTTTTTGGCAGTTTTACATTCTCAATTCCATACATGTGTGGCTTAAACAGTCTTGCTGTTTATTCTCTTAATGAAAATGATATTGTTGAAAAAATTATCAATGAGTTTTGTTTCATGCAAAAACAAAAATAAGTTAACAAAAAAACTCACGTTTATTTGTCATCTCTCGAAACGAAACTCCATCATCACCAATTTTCCTTAACTTATCAATGCATTTACACTTTTCCCTATTGTCATCATCAACTACTTTACTTGAATTTAATGCCACAGAATCTAAGTTTAAACTTTTTAGTTTACTTGAGGATTTGCATAACTCTGGGGAAGAAGATTGGAAAAGGTTACAGGTATTTTTGGGTGTATTCTTTGGAAAAAATAACTTTTTTACTCCACTTGTCTTCAGACTACCCATTCTCTCTTTTTTAAATTCAAACTTTTCGAAACAGACATTTAAAAAATCAAAAAGCCTCATTTAATATATATATATATATATATATATATATATATATATATATATATATATATATATATATATATATATATATATATATCTTTTTCTTTAACATCAATCTTTTGCGAAACTGATAAATCAAAAATAAAAACTTGATTTAATATACGTATATATATATATATATATATATATATATATATATATATATATATATATATATATGATATAAAGTGAATCATTAAAATCTATAAAGAAATTACTTGGTATGTCATCCTCATCATCATATTCAAATGGTTTTTTTACTCTGCTTAACTTCAGTGTTAAACTAGGAACTATCTCTTTTTCTTTAACTTCAATCTTTTGCGAAACTACTAAATCAAAAATAAAAACTTGATTTAATATACGAATATATATATATATATATATATATATATATATATATATATATATATATATATATATATATATATATATATATATATATATATATATATATATATATATATATGTATCTATTTAAACAATTTAAAATGTATTCTACAAAAAAAGTGCTCAATGTTCTTAAAAGAACAGAGCAATTACAAATTAGTAGAAAATCACTTAGCAAAATTTTTTCTCATTTAACACCGTGTTTCATCAATAAAGATTTCGCATTTCTGATGAGTCTTTATTGATGAAACAAAGTGTTAAATAAGAAAAAATTTTGCTAAGTGATTTTCTACTAATTTATATATATATATATATATATATATATATATATATATATATATATATATATATATATATATATATATATATATATATATATATATATATTTATATATATAGTGTTCTTGACTGAATCATTAATGATATAAAATAAACTATAAACAACTTACTTGGTATGTCATCCTCATCATCATATTCAAATGTTTTTTTTTAATCCACTTATCTTTAGTTTTGGACTAGCCACTCTCTCTTTTTCTTTCATTTCAAACTTTTGAGAAACTTATAAATTAAAAATTATAAACCATTCAATGTATGCATGTATATATAGTTCAATGTATGTATGTATGTATGTATGTATGTATGTATGTATGTATGTATGTATGTATGTATGTATGTATGTATGTATGTATGTATGTATGTATGTATGTATGTATGTATGTATGTATGTATGTATGTATGTATGTATGTATGTATGTATGTATGTATGTATGTATGTATGTATGTATGTATGTATGTATGTATGTATGTATGTATGTATGTATGTATGTATGTATGTATGTATGTATGTATGTATGTATGTATGTATGTATGTATGTATGTATGTATGTATGTATGTATGTATGTATGTATGTATGTATGTATGTATGTATGTATGTATGTATGTATGTATGTATGTATGTATGGATGTATGTATGTATGTATGTATGTATGTATGTATGTATGTATGTATGTATGTATGTATGTATGTATGTATGTACGTATGTATGCATATATGTTTGTATGTATGTATGTATGTATGTATGTATGTATGTATGTATGTATGTATGTATGTATGTATGTATGTATGCATGTATGTATGTCAATGAGTGATCCCCACATATATATTCTTGAATCATTAATTATACAACAGGGTGAGGTATAAACATCTTACTAGGTAGGTCATCATCTTCATCTTCAGTTTGGAACTTTAACATTGATTTGCAAATTTCTTAGCTATAAGTTTCAAGAATATATTCAACAAACTTAAACTCTTTCCAGCCGGCCTCTGGCTCTGCCCATTCAGAAATATAAACTCCAACAGTTTTACGTCCTCGGGGTGGATAAAACATGATACCTTTATATGGGTCAACCCAATGAAATTGCACGACAGTTTTTGTATCAGCCTTATCTTCTTTAATAACAATTGTGCTAAACAATCTAAAATGAAAGAAAGTTGAATTTAACTAAGGAAACAAATACAAAAAATTAAAAATGTTTATCAACTTTTCTTCAGCAAAAATTTTACAGTTAATAAAAATTTTCAATTTAATAACAATTAGATATGATATATCATATATCAGTTATATTTAGCTCTAACATATATATATATATATATATATAATATATATATATATATATATATATATATATATATATATATATATATATATATATATATATATATATATATATATACATATATATATATATATATATACGTATATATATATATATATATATATATATATATATATATATATATATATATATATATATATATATATATATATATATATATATATATAATAGAGTGCTCAAAAAATACTTATCTAATTTTTTTTTCTTCAATAACTTATTTCTTCATCATAAGGAAGAATGTCTAAACATTAAGAAATTTAAATTATAGAAAAAATATTTCACAGGAAGTTGGAAATTGTTATAATTGATTAGAGAGTAACTGTAGTTATTTTGCAACTAGAAAGTTGCATTAACAACATTAAAATTAAAAAGTTAGTTGTGAAAGAAATTCTTAAGAAATAGGATAATTTTAGTGAAGTCATTTGTTTTTATAATTTTTTAAAAAGGTAGTTATTATGTCTGCATTAATAAATTAATTCAGATATTTTGTTAAGTAAATTTTCTTGATCTAACTATGTAATAATTTCAAATTTTTCTTGTAAACATAGCATACATTTTTTGAACTTTTGTAATAATTTTTGTAATATAAGATATATATATATATATATATATATATATATATATATATAATATATATATATATATATATATATATATATATATATATATGTATGTATATATGTATATAATTTTGTGTTTGAGAGTGACTGATCTATAAATGATGGTATAGCTTATGAATAAGCTATACCTACATTTATAGGTTCAGTTGCTCTCAAACACAAAATGCATATATAAAAATAATACCATATATATTATGGTATTATTTTCAGCACTTCTTTAAACGACTACTTCTGTGCCCTTATTGTTATTGACAAAAATTTCTTATTCGTTATATTTTATTCATTTCAGATTTATCATATGATGGATTTATGCAATATAGAAGAACAAAGTATTGTAAATTTTAATGAATTTTTTAAAAACATCTACTAATGAATAGTCCAGTCAACGTTTAAACTTCAATAATGCATATCATATGCAACATTGAAGTTGAGACGTTGACTGGAGCATATGTCGTATGCAGCATATGTCGTTTTTAAGTAGTTTCTAGGCATTTCTAAATGTGTTTTTTATTTACATGGTTTTACAAGCAAGATCTGAAGCAAATTAGAGCTGAAAAATTTTTCTTAGCTTTTAAGGAGAATTTTTCTTAAAGAGAATTGGTTTTGTTCTTTGTTTAATTTAATTTGTTTAAATGTAATTTTAATAAATAAATGTTTGTTCTTGGTTTTTTACTAATTTGTTTTCACATTCTTAAGAACTTGGCAACTTAACTAAACGAGTTTTGTTTTATTTTTTAGTGCAATTGGAAAAAACCGAAACCTAATATTAGTGCAATTGGAAAGAACTGAAGTGTTTTTTAGTCACTTCACACAGTATAACTGGTACCGGTTTGAGTAAATTTATTTTTTTATTTAATATTGGATTTATTTTTTATTAGATATATATTATATTAGATATATTTTATGTATTTTAACATGGAAAACTGACTGTAATTTGTTGACACGAAAGTGATCATTAAATTAGTCAGTAATTTTGTGCATTGTAGACTAGATTCTTTGTTAAATTAAAAATAACTGATGTAAATAAATATTCTTTAATTTTTTTTGAAAAATGACTTATGTATATAAACATAAAAAGATATGGATTTCAATAAATCTTGAGTTTGAAGTCTTGAAGTAAATTGTGATCTTTTCTAATCAAGATAGTCTTTAATTAGAAAAGATCGCAATTTGTAAGATTATTTTACGTTTATTTATTCAGTTGTAACAATATTAAGATTACTGGTAATATGTTTAATGATAATAGTGAAATTGAAGTGGATAATACGCTTAAAGAAGTTATTAATGTAAATGCTAATAAGTAACTTGAAAATAGTTGTTGTCGAGTGAAAGAGATCTAGGCAAGATGAAATTAATTGTTGTTAAAATGTAAGAAATGTTGCTCGGCGAGCAGAAAACTTACTTGCCAGAATTCAGTTTCAAGCAGTGTTAATATCTGTTAATTTGATTTTACTTTGAATAATTTTAAAAAAAGCAAAACATGAATTTTACTATTTATAGTAACAGTTAATAACAGTTTTAAATTTAAATGATTTTAAAATTTTTTATAATTTCAAACATAATTATGTTCTTTTTTTTTTAGTTGCTTTTGTCATCACTTGATTAGTTTGCGTACTGTTGAAACATGGTTTTAATTTT